CAAGGTGACATAAATTGAGATCAAAATACTTATTTACCTTAGATGGTAAATCAAGTCTTATTTATCCTTTCTGAGAATCTGAAGGTATAAATAAGAGAGCATTTAATAAATACATTGTAACTTCATGTCCCGACCAAAACAAGTAGGAAATGTTGAGGATAATCCTAATTTCCATGGAAACGCTGGCAGTGAACTTGACAGAAGCCGAAGGGAAGACATACAGTTGAAAGTAGTACCCGCTTTCGAGAGAATTACCGTGAAAGGCGAGTCTGGACAATTCAGTAAAGCTGAAGAAGCAGTGGAAACGTACTCCGAGGTGTGGAGCGAGACTGCGGCTCCAGACAGGCTAAAATACATTCGATTGGGAATGTATCAAGGACAGAGACCAGAGAATAAGGAGTTTCTAGAGGAGCTAGAAACATTGGAGGTTAGCGTGAGATCGGAGACTAAGGAAGTGCAATCAAATTGGGAAGAAGTCAGAAGGAGACTTCTGGAGGTGTTCGAGAAGCACAGAAGAAGGGCTAACAAGGACCTAGGGGTAAAACCATGGGTATCGGGATCGGCATACGAATGGATTAAGGAAGAGCATCTACGCATGTGCACAGGAGAATCGACTTGGGAAGAACTCAAGTTGTATCTCAAGGAACTACCAGCTTTCGCAGGAAAGGTCACTTACCTGGGAAATGCTAACATTAAGGAGTTGGTGGAGCTAGCGAAGGAGATTGATCGAAGGAAGGCCGAACATAAAAGGGAACGACAGCCTATAAGAACATCAAAGAAGACAGTCAAGTGTTATACGTGCAACAAAGTAGGCCACTTAAGTAGGGACTGCCGATCTGGGAAGGATCGTACGGGAAATGATCAGAAGAATGCGCAAGAGGTTCAAAGTGGCAAGAATAAAGGATCCAACCTTTACATGACTAAAGTGTTATTAGGAGCCACAGAGTTAGACGGAATCAAAGACTCGGGATCTGACATAAACGTAATCGGACGTGAAGGAATAGATGTATTACTTTCAAATGGAGAAGAGATTACGGTGAAGAGAAATGAGACGCAGATAAAAACAGCAGATGGACGAGCCATGGACTGTAAGGAAAAGATCATTGTGGAAATGCGCTATAGAGATAGGCATATTGGAAAGCACGAAGTAATGATAAGTGAAAATAGAGTCGGTAAAGAGTTACTCATTGGAGGGGAACTCTACTGAAGATTCTAGAGATGGATGACCATAAGATCATTAAAGGGACAGGTCAGGAAGCGGTAGAAGTAGGGTACGTGCAGACCTATAGTGGAAACTCAGGAGTAAAGGTAGACTCTGAACTGAGTAAAGAAGAGTTCAAGGCGATAAAGGAGGCAGTTGAACGAGAACCGCAAGACGGGGTAATAGAACCAGCAGAAATGGAAACACCGCCAGGAAGGGTAGTGTGCGTGAAGAGAGGAGTAACACCACATATGTATAGGACGGCGCAAGAGTTGATAAATTCGTTGGAAGCGCAAGGATTCTTAGAGAAGACTAAGCCATCGGAATGGTTAAGTCCTATATCGATGCAGAAGAAACCATCAGGTAAATGGAGATTGTGTGCTGATTTAAGGAAATTGAATGACATGACGGAACAGGATAATTATCCGATTCCGGACATACAGTATTTGACAGATCATATTAGGGGAAAGAAGATATTTAGTAAGCTGGATATCAAGGATGGATTCTATAGGATACCGTTGAAAGAAGAGCACAGAAAGAAGACAACACTGAAACTGGGATTCACGAATTACAGATATAGAGTGTTACCGATGGGGTACAGAAATGCACCAAACATATTCCAAAGGAAGATGGAAAGCATTTTTGACGGATTAGTGGGAAGAATATGTATTATTTACATTGATGACATATTGATATACTCAGACACGATTGAAGAACACAAGAAGCATTTGGAAGAAGTGTTAAGTAGAGCTCATAAGTATGGATTAGACTTGAGCTGGGAAAAGGTAGAGATTGCGAAAAGGAAGGTTAAATTCTTAGGATATCAAATATCTGAGAATAAGATAGGACCAGATGAAAGTAAGGTGCAAGGAATTGTTGATTATAAGACGCCAGAGAAAGTGAAAGACGTAAGGCAATTTATAGGTATGCTTGGTTATAGCAGAAGATTCATGAAAGATATCTCAGTGACATTGAGACCTTTGTATGAATTGACGAAGAAAGGAGCAGTATTCAGATGGACTGAAGAACGAGATAAGGCGTACAAGGAAGCGAAAAGAAAGTTGATAGAAGCGACAGAAACAATCATTCCAGATATGAATAAGAGATTTATATTAGAAACAGACGCATCAGATTATGGCGTAGGAGCGATATTGAGACAGGAAGAAGGAATTATAGGATACTATTCAGGAACATTATCACCGACAGAACAAAGATACACCATAACGGAAAAAGAGTTGTGGGCAGGTATTTGGGCAATGAGAAAGTGTAAACACTATCTATATGGAAAGGAGTTCGATTGGTATACAGATCACAAAGCCATCATAAGTTATAGAACTAAAGATGATTTTGGAAATCGAAGGATACAAAGATGGTACAATGATTTAGATGAATTTGCGTTTATTCCGCATTATAAACCGGGGGAGGAGATGATAATTGCAGATGCACTATCAAGATCCTTACCTATTTCCAAAGAAGTTAAGGTAAACGAAATCATATCTAAGAGTACAGAAGAATCTATTATGAAGATACATGAGGAACTGAACCATAGGAAAAGTATTATGTCGGAATTGGAAGAAAAGGGATTTAAAGTGAGTCAGAAAGATCTGATAGGGATATTAGAGAAGTGTAAGACATGTCTTGAAAGAGATAACAAACATGTTCACTCGGATAAATATATTGTGACCACTGAACCTGGAGAGATGATTGGGATTGACTTAATGGAATATAAGAATTCATATGTCATGATCGTTATAGATTATTTCACTAGATATGTGTGGGCCAAGATAACGGAAACTAAGACACCAAACAAGATTATAACATTCTTGGAAGATGTACTTAAAGAGATGAAATTTAAGAAGATAATATCGGATCGAGGAAGAGAGTTTGAGAATGCTAAAGTAGAAGAATGGATAAAGGATAAAGGACTAGAACATTACTTGAGACCTCCATACCATCACAAAGGTACTGGTAGGGTTGAAAGAGTAATTAGGACTTTAAGAGTAGCATTGAATAAGACGAAAGGAACATTGAAGAGGAAGTTAGGAGGAATAGTAAAGAATTACAATAACTGTTATCACAGAGGAATAGGAATGACACCAGGAGAAGCTAGGAAAGCAGAGAACAAAGAGAAGATACTGGAAAGAGCGAAAGAATATGCGAAAGAGTTCAAAGAGAAAGAATTGGAGATATATGAACCAGGAACAGAAGTTTTGATAAGGAAAGAGGTTAGAAAGGGGAAAGATGATAAACATTTTGAGAAAGTAGGAACAGTAACGAAAGTACTGGAAGGAAACAATTATGAAGTTAAAGATTCAAGTGGTAGAATACTTGTTAGGAATTTTAGCCAACTAAAGGTTAAGCCCCGGGATGTTGTATGACATGAATGTCACAAATTGGTTTACACCAAGGTGACATAAATTGAGATCAAAATACTTATTTACCTTAGATGGTAAATCAAGTCTTATTTATCCTTTCTGAGAATCTGAAGGTATAAATAAGAGAGCATTTAATAAATACATTGTAACTTCATGGCCCGACCAAAACAAGTTTGATCAAAACAGCGATGTTGCCTGGATAACTCACCAGAACCAAGACAATACGACCAGCTGGAGTCTTAGACTAACTCCAAATCAAGTGGCTCTAAACGGTGAACCAGCGCATATACCAATTCAACACATTGTTATTCCTATGTTTTGGGATAAAAACGAGTACAACAACTGTTGCCAGGACTTGGATCACCTGCAGAAGGTCACAAGCCAGGCGCCCATAGTTATTCAGGGCCTACAGTTGGAGTATGGCCAGGCATCTTTTAAGTTGCTTCTTCTGCTGCTGCGCGTTCTAGACATGCCTCGAGTAGAAATACATCTGTACGGCCATCTCCGGCTAGACGAAAGTCTTCAGACCGAGCAGATACTAGATGGCATAGATTACCTACTCAACGGCCTCCCAGAAAACATAAGTGCCCGAAAGACTCTTTTACAAATACATACGACAAATACCATCGAGTACTGGAGAGATATTCTCAAATTAGTCATCCAAGCGTACAGCAGGTTAGACCTTAAGAAAGTATCCTGTTAAGTTTAAATAGGTTTTGGTAGGTTGATATGTAGTGAAATAGGTTGAGTTAGTATTGGGTTGAGTTGGTATTGGGTTGAGTTGGTATTGAATTGAGTGAATGACTTGAGTAAATTGGCACAGGTTGAGTGAGGATGAAATCTTGCAGGTGAAGATTGCAAGGGCCAAATCAAACAGATCAAAGTTGTTAAAATAAAATTACGAGATTAGCAGTATAGTGTTAGGTGATGAGTTAGGTGGTGGAGAGGCATTAGTGGGTTTCAGGTGCGAATATAGAGGGGTATATTCCAGTTCTGGTAACTCAACTAAACTTAACTTAACTTAAGTGGTGGTGAGCAAAAGGGCTATAAGAAGAGTCAGCAAATGGTGTAAATTGAGATGGGTTAGGTGGCATAAATCAAATTGATAAGAATGGTATAAGGGAGCATTTGAGATAGCAAATTTGTATGTTCATATCTTCAAAAGCAGGACTGGTTCAATTCGTTCTTATTGTGATCGGAGTGATGGTCGTATTTAGTGGGGAAGGTTGCTTATGCAGCAATCCAGCGCAAGGGAAAAAGAAGAAGGGACGCGGAGTAGGGTCATTGGTAGATAAAGTACTGGATAAAGCAGTGGCTAAGGTGGTGGAGAGAGTAGAGGAGAGAGTAGAGAAGAAAGCAGTAGCTAAAGTGACAAAGAAGGTGACAAAAGAGATAGTACGCAAAGGGGGTGGCGGTTTGATGGAGCGTGTGATGGGTAGGTTTCGAAAGAGTTAAGTTTGGTTAGGTTTGAGTTGGGTTGGGTTGAGTTGGGTTAGGCTTAATAAATTGGGTTTGGTTTGGTTAGGACAAGTTGATAAGATAAGGTATTAGTATTGAGTTGGTAAGTGAAGATAAGTGTAGTGCCGTTACACAACCACTACTCCTTCTTCACACCAAATCGTTTATTCATTGTCCGATCGTATTAGTATTAGGTTATTGTTGGGTTAGTAGAGAATTCGAATCATATCAAATACCAACCCATAGAGTTTGTCTAACTCATCAATAGACGTTAAGATAAGGCCATTGGCTTAGTATTGTGATGTTAGTATTGGGTTAGTGTTGTAGTTGAGATAGTGATGGTTGCTTTTGAAATTTAATAAAATGAAGAGATAAGAAAAAGGAATGCCAGGAATGAGTTTGAAGTTAGTATTAGTGTGGTTTGGTGTGGTAGTAGGCAATAGTGATAGCAATCCTAATACTAATTTAGATGCAATACAGGACAGGCTAAATGGCTTATTCAGAAGCAGCTTAATTAACTATATACTTGAAGACCATTTATGGACAGAAATAGGTAGTTTTGATATATCTGGCCTAAATAACCCCAATACCGAAATGCCAGAATTCCAATCACGGTTGAAGATGAAAAGAATGGCTTATTGTTTGGAACGACTGGATATATTTCGACCTCTTTTAAATGATCAATTAGTAGAATGTCCTAATCCAGATGGCTCCTCCGACTGGATTCTTAAGTTGAGTTCAGTAGAAGATCGAAGGCAAATACTAGAAAACAGGCGGATAGAGGCGCCAGTAGACTATTTGGATGAATTGCAAGAAACACCAACCCAATGTGAAGTCATCGATAAAGATACAGACGATATACCAATGATAGATGCGGGCGCCTGTTATATTCACCCAACCAATACTAACCCAACTAATACTAACCCAACTCTCAACTCAACTAGTACTAAGCCAAATGAGGAATCGATAACCTACAAACAGTGCCTAGAAGCTTTACAGCCCTTGAAAAAGATCACCAGTCCGGCTGGGATACTGATTTTCGGAAAGACATTGGAAAATGAAATACTAGACCAACTTGAGCTGTTATTGTATATACTGCGGATTGCGGATAGTCCTATAATCAGAATAGGATGGATTGACACGAGTAAAACCAGATTTGATATGAAATCAATAGATAGATTTAGATCTCTGTTAGAAGACGTCCCAAAGAAGAAGCGACAATGTCCAATTGAGTTGGATCTTACTAGTTTAGATAATCGTGTGTTTTGGCGTGCTTTCTTTAAGTTGATCCGTGAACATTACGATATTAAATTGGGGTATGTGGATGCTTGAGTGGCCAATGCCATCAATGCCAACTCAACTTAATAAAGGTCTAGTTAGTGTTATGATGTTATTATGATGGTATTTGGTGTGGAGCGCCAAGCATGACACGTGTGCCAAAGTTGAAATAATAAAGTCCCCGAAAGTGACCATTTCGAGATGGGATATAGGAGAAAAAGTAATAAAGATGCTTCATTTTGGGATACTATACATAGAAATACTAACCCAACTCAAGTTCGCACTATTTTGCGACTGTTTGGAAATCGCATGCCAAACTAAAGAAAAGATGGCGTCATTTTGTTCTCGTTCTTCCTTTTTAGGAAATTATCAAAAACACAATCTACTCTTTTGTAACCGCATTCTAGACTTCTTAGATCTGGATTGGGTTAGTATACTAGTCAAAAACACCTTTATTCGTTCTGATCTATCCTTGGCAATAATCGATCCTGTTGTGTTTGCATCTCTTTGCTCTTATAATGGCCTCGAACGTGTTTGTAGCACTTTTCTGTGTCTAGATGCCAATTCCTACCATGTCCTTTTATAAAGACTCCCTTTGGTCTTTCAGAACCATCAGTGCCAATTACTTCCACCATTTGTACTTCTATCACATCTTTCTCAAGACTATCAAGCATAACTTACTCTTGAGGATCATAAGAATGCTTGCCTGCTTTGGAAATCAATGCCACCAGAGATCAGATTGGTTGTGGTCTAACATATTTGTCTTGTTGATTTATGGCTTTAATGACATCGATAATCACTGATAGTTTCAGTATCTCGAGATTAGCATAAATATGAAATATATAAATCTTGTTCAGAATTGGATTTTAGTTAGTATTGAGTTGGATTTAGTATTTCTATTTTGAGATATGAATTTCAACTTTATTTAAACCGTCTAACATTTCGATCTTGGCGCGTTTTCAAGTATGACGCACCACATTAGGTTTAGATTAAGTTAGTATTTAGATAAGAGTAAAATAAGATTAAGATAGGATCAAGTTAGTATTTAGATAAGAGTAAGATAAGATTAAGTTGAAAAGTAGAAAGAGATATGGAATAAGGTGGTGTTTATTGAGTGATGTGGGGTAGGGCGGGGTTGCCGCGATAAATGATGGTGCCTCGGGGTGCTTTCTTAGTAAGATCTTGGGTAAATATGTAGTGGTTCTTTGTTTGGCTGTTGGTGTTTATTGTAGTAAGGTAGAGATCGGGTAGTTGGACGTTTGGGGCTGAGAAGAAATGGTTATTTCTTTGGGTTAGTAGGTCTCTAATTAGCTGGTCTTGGCATTCTAAGGAGACTATGACACCAGTAATAGTGATATTGGTGATAGTTGGGTATAGCTTGAAAATGAATTGGATAATGGCTAGAATTAGAAGGTTTAGGTCATGGTAGGTCATGTTGATTAATCGGAAAGTGATGTCGGTTAGATGATGGTACGGAGTAGGAGTACTGTCTGTAGGGATGGTGTTCCTAATGTAATTGAGCATATAGTCCAGATAGCTGATAGCGGTTTGGCAGTCTTGGGAAGAGGAAACTAAAACAGTCCGAAAGCAGAACATGCGATTAATGTGGGGGTCAAGATGGCGAGTAGATTCATCATCAGGCATGGATTTGGCAATCAATTCCGGGCATGGGAATGGGTGGTAGGCCCAGAGTGAAAGGTTAATGAACTCCTGAAGTGTGTAGCTAATATTGTAAGGTTGATGGTGGGGAATTGGAATAAGCCGAGCTGAGAGTCGTTGTATGTAATCGTGGATGTCAGGAAACTTTGGATAGGGATACATTAATATAAAGCGGATAGATGAGGAGTTAAAGATGATGTCCAATTGTTTGGGGTGGGTGATGTGCTGTAGCATCTTCTTGACATCGGAATTTTGCCGGATGTCATAAAGATAAATACAGAGCGAGTTGGCTGTAGCAATAGCATCGAGGAATGTGCTGATAAACGCTGAACCGCAGCAATAGACTGATAGTTGGCCAAGTGTGCATATGGCAACAAATGACGTGGTTCGGAAATGGGAGAGATCTTGTGCTTGGTGGAATCCTACCAAGGAGAGTTCAACATCCGGTTTAATGCCATAGATAGCATTGAGGAGCCAAATGATTAGTTCAATTGGGAATGAACGGCCTTGAAAGTTGAAGTGGGGACGGTAAGTAATCCGGGCATGTTGGTATGGCATCTGTAGAACCAAAGAGCTTAAGATTGACCAAGCACGGGGGTCGATAGAAGGAGTGTGTGTATGGGAAATAAAGTCTGCGGGGAAACCTGCTGAAAAGCTGTGCGGGGATAGATGTTGGCGTTGTGATAAATAAGGGTGGGTGTGCTTAGGGGGAATAGTTATCATATTCAACCAGCCAATGTCCAAAACAAGCTCAATCTCTTTGTGTACAGATAGATAGGTCAAAAAACAAAAGGCCACCAGGGGACATCCCGTGATAATCTCAGAGATCAATAAACTAACAGCCTCCAATTGAGTGCCAAATAAATTAGTGCCAAACAAAGTAGTCCGAAATCCTATTCCTGCCAATCTAATTTCTTCTGGATCGGCATAGGCATATGAATGGATGACTATGAAGCGGTTTGGCCTTATGAAGTCGTATAGCAAGCGGGCGAGCTCAATTGATACGAAGGTTTTGGCGTAAACAGCCACTGTTGTATGGGCAAAACTCTTTGAAGGCCGGCCTGCTTCCTGGCTTGCCTTGGAATAGGCACTAAACTGTACATCAATATTCGTCTTGTGATACGGAGACCACGGTGCCTTGGGCAGTTCGTACAATAAAATCTCGTTAGTATCTAGTAACCGAATCAGGGCAAAAAACAAAGCATATGGTTCCATTGGTCTTTGCTCTATTAAGTTGCGAATGACTAGTTTGCCAAGACGAATTGAAGCTATAGACTTTGCTAGGGTACTGCGCCATTCTCTTGGGTTTGAGTTCTTTTTATGAGGCCACACAAACAGAACTGGCTCCTCTAAAGATACAGGCTCGAGATCGTATTGTTGATTGTTATACTTGTTTGTACTAACTTTCCAATCTATTGTTTGGCGCGGTGCCGGCTTCGACCCATATGAAGATTCCGAGTAAGAGACAAGTACCTTGTTAAGAGTTTCCAGAACGGCATCAGGAGCATGGCCTGTGGTAGTGTCACAATTATTGCTTAAGCTTGTTGTCGTATCCACCTCCTCAGGTTTAATTAAGTCAGTTCTTTCACTATCCATATGTTCACCATATACGTTATCGGTCTCTTTTTGATTTATAGATAACACGGCCAGGTCCATATCTAAATCTGTTCCATTAACCCAGCCCAACGTCAACATAGCAACAATAAAGGCACTCAAACCAACAACAACTTTCATTAGATATATTACAAAAACCAAAAGTAGATAAAAACCAGCTACCTCACACAAATTACACTCTCTTAACCTAACTTAACCCACCCAATACTAACTAATTCAGCACCATACTCTTAGCCCCTAATAAGGCACCTCAATTCATAACTTACTCAATCTATAACATCACTTTACTCAATCCATACCATCACTTTACTCAATCTATAACATCACTTTACTCAATCCAAACTCAACATAGTATCAACACATTCTTAAAATGCTTCTAATGTCCTATTGGGTTAGTATTAAGTTGAGTTTGTTTTTAGTCAAGTTAGTTATTGGGTTAGTGCCGTGTTCTAAGAAGGAGTGCTCTATTGGGTTAGTAATGCCGAGCCAATGAATATGCTACTATAGCTTAGATCCGCTTTATTGCACGCCATCTTGAGACCGTTCACCAACTCAGAATATAAATACTAATCAGAGATTGTGATTTCTAATTCGAGATTTTAATCGCATTCGCTGCGGTCAGTGCCATTGGGTTGGCATTGGGTTAGTATTGGGTTGAACAAAGCATTGCTAGATGGTTGGGCTATGATGTTTATTTAAGTTAGACAGCATTAAATGATATGAATTGAATAGAAGGGGGCGATAATGGCTGACATAGAGCCATCGCGGTCTAAACCAGCCATGTCTTTATGAGATACGCAGAAGTAGATGTATTCGTCTGGAAATTCCATGCTTTTGAGCCAGTTGTGAGCAGTCGCCGTGTTTTTAGTGTGATCATTGACAAGGATAATTTGAGCTGGAGATAAGGGTACAATTCGGTAAATCTCCTCAGATGGAAGTGAGTTTAGACAGACTGAGCATTTGTAGTTGAGCTTCTGATCTGCACACAGATCGCATAAAAAGTGTTCACAGGGGAAATAGCAGAGTGTAGTGAATTTGTATAGGCTAGTTGCTGTTTGGGTGGGTTGTTTGCCATTTGAGTTGTTGTCTTTGGTTTGAGTTTGAGTTTGAGGGGTATAGAGGGCTTTTTGGCAGTGTAAACAGCTAAGTTTATCAAGTTGTGTATCTTTGTTCTTGTACTCACAGTTAACTTGTTTGGGTGTGTCATTCGTGTTGAGTTGTTTGAGTTTGGTAAGATCCTCTATGGCTGCATTAAGAGAGGGAATGTTTTGAATGAGCTTGGTAAGGGTGTCGTTGGGTGCGTTAATGTGTTTGACAAGCAGATCCAGCAATGGCAATGGCACTTTAATGGTTTTAGAAGGATCAAGCGAGACACTCAAGAGCAGACGAGTGTGATATGGCTTGAGTACTAGCTGAATATGGCTGGTTTTAGTATTGGGTTGAGTGTTGCTTATTTGGATGGTTTTAAGTGATGGTTGAGTACGAATCCAGTAGTTGCGCTTGATTATGATCTTTTGCTCTTCTTCTGACAACACAGCCTTTATTAAGTGCAGGGCTAGTATGTCTTTAAATCGATATCCCACCCAACGGATAATAGTCGCCAAATCGGCTTCAGTTAAGAGTTGGGTCTTGGCGAAACACAGGAATAACCTTTCCACAGATTCCTTGTTGGTGCCGGCTGTTATATTGGCTTGGTATTTTATAAGATCGGCTTGTAAGAATGGTAGAGTGATGTTGTAAAGAGTGATGCCGGTTGTGTCCAGTGAGTTAGTTAGGTTGGCTTGGCTTAGTGAAGTTGGCACATCTTCCTCGGCTGGACAGGACAGACATCGCATAGTAAAGGCCTTGATGGCCCGTAAAGTGGAACTGAAGGCTGCTAGAGTGGTGTTGTAAGGAGTGGTACCGGTTGTGTCCATTGGGTTGGCTGAGTTAGATTGGGCTAATGAAGTTGACACGTATTCCTCGACTGGGCTGGACAGAACTTGCCCACCATGGGCTCTGATGAACTGTAACCCACTACTAACCCATTGCGAGTCAACATCTATATCTTCTGGCAGCAAGACTAGTTTGTGCAGGGCAAGTTCTTGGGCGAAGTCGTTTTCTTCAGAACTCAATACATACTTAAACAGTGGGAACTTGTTGGTCCTACTTGGCTGGCTAGGTGGCTCAAACTCAGCTAAGCCACGCAGACCCACGATCACGAGTTTGGAGATATTGCGGGCTTCTTTACGGGCAAGAACTTTGGCAATGGCAAGGTTTGTGAGGTGGTGGTTTATGAGGTAGATCTCTATGGGACAGACCAGCTCATAATTATATAGTATCCAGTCAATAAGGTCTGGAGTAGTATTGGCTAGTATTAGTTTGTTGGCTTTGAGTTTGCACTTGCCGAAATCTCTTGTCAAGGGCGTTCTATAACATTTGGGGGCGAGATTAATACTGCCATGCACATTTGAGATGCGAAGCTCGCGAGTATTGATGTTTCGGAAGCGCAGTAGAATCTGAGTGCATTGGTAGGCATCTGTTGGGCTTGGCTCTTCCCGACCGGCAATATTAATAATGGTGTAGCGCAAGTGCTGGCAGAAGTAGCTGTAGGCAAAGTGGCCATCTTCAACTTCAACTGTGATGTCAACTGGATCTTTAATCCTTTCAAAAGAGCCACTGAGTGCATCACCACAGCACTGAATGGAGTTGAGTTCGTAGTGTGTTTGCATGCGAGGCACGAGTAAACTAAGAGACGTAGACAAGTCTTCTCTGGGGTCCTTTGAGTACCTTACCTCGACTTGTTTGACTAAAACACCGTACTTGGCAAAGGCCGTAGGGGTAAAGGCCCCTTGGTAGCAGGAGATGGATTTACATGGCACATAGCAGTTTAATTCACAAATAAGTTTGTTAGCCTCAATCCAAGGCCGGGCAGGTTGGGTGATTGTGGATGCATCAGTTATTTGCGCGATAGCAAGCAGGTCAACATCCAAGACCAGAATGGTAGAAATATCAACCATTGTTTGGGGCGGAGTTCTATTGAATGTGCTATCGTTTATAATAGCTTTCCACGTAGTTTCCAGAATCAGTCTGGGGTATTTAACTCTCGCATGCTCAAGTCCGGCCAATCGATCATATAAACTCTCGCTGCAACGCACATGAATCTTATTACACATAGGAGGAGACGTTTGAAGAAACCCGAAATTAAGTTTAGAGGTAGTGCCATCATTCCATGTCGGCCTAAGAAAGATGGCGTAATTGTTGGTGAGCGGTAAGCGGCTAAGGAAGGCCGGGTTGCAACAGTGGCCATCGGGAATTTTGATGCCTGAAATTGGCCGCAGCAAGAAAACCTTGTTACGTAAGAATTCTGTAAAGACTGCGTTCATGTCATATTCGCTTGTTAGTGTGCACAGCACCTTATAGTCAATGCGGTCAAAAGTCTTTTGAGCTTCTTTGTGACAGATAGTATAATCACATGGGTTAGGATTGGGTTGGCTTATTCCCAAGCCCGGCATCAGGTCAAGATGCAGGTTGTGACAGTCAAACAGGTTAACAACTCGAGATAGAATTTGCATTGCTAGCAGGTGATCAATTTGGCATCTCTTTGTGTACTGAACATAAGCATCTTTAGTCTTAATGACGACAATCGTTTGTAAATGCGCCAAAACAAGATTGGCAAGAGTATTGTTTAGATTAGCCGGCAGGGAAAATGTGACTGTTTCGCCCGGGCATTCCACCACCCAATTGGTTATTTTGTCTTTTGTGGATGCCAATTGAGACGAAGTTCCAATAGCCGGAGACGCGGATTCTAGTAGTGGCGAGGAAGAGAAAGGCGTAATCTTTAAGTCGACAGACATGTTCCACGTAAACCCAATAGTGTGTAGGGTTGGAGGGGTAATCGGATAGACTAGTAAACTACTATCCGCCCCAATCCCATTCAACAGTCCCAATAAGATTACTAGCACCCACTGGATTGGGATTGCGTTGAGTTGGTAGTGAGTTGGTGTTGGTTTAGAAGGCTTTAATGGACATTTCAAGTTACGCTGAGCATGTAGAGATGGGAAATTCTTCATAAGTAAAGATAGCGTTGTGTTTTTTACAAATAAAAATATAGATAGACAAGATGGCATCAGATTGCTTAAAAACAACAAATAAGATAATGGTTTTGAATTAGGTTGGGATTGTGTTAGGATTGTGTTAGGATTGTGTTAGTATTGGGTTGATTAAGATGCGAATTTTCTAATACTAACTGTGGCGTCCTCGCCGGTCTCCACTTCAAAGTGAGTTATCTACAGGAGTGTAGTGTTGTAATGTTTATCGACTTGGCACTGATCGCAGCGAACGCGATTAAAATCTTGAATTAGAAATCACAAGCTCAGATTAGCATTTATATTCTGAATTAGTGAACGATCTCAAGATGACGTACGATAAAGAGAACTTAAGTTATACTAACCCAACACTAACCCAAATCGGTCTTTAGTTGAGTATGTTTGGTTGAAAGGTACTATCCCTTCCCCGGGGCACAACACCAACCCAAATAGATAAGGTATACACAATATTGTCGCAATACTACCGCAATACCATGGTGTGGTGTCCTCGCCGGCCTCCACTTCAAAGTAAGTTATCTACAGGGGCAAAGTTCTGGAATACTTATCGGCTTGGCACTGATCGCAGCGAACGCGATTAAATCTTGAATTAGAAATCACAATCT